GTGTCCCGGTGTCCCCCCGTGTCCCTCCCCTGTCCCCCCGTCCCGGCGGTGCGCGCTGCGCTAGAGGAGGAGAGCAGCGCCCGCCCGCGCACTTGGTGTCCCCCAGCCCGGGCTGCCCGCGCGTCCCTGCTCCCGGTGCTGAGGGGTTTGTAATGGTTTTAAAGCGATGACCGGGGGTTGGCACTAGGGGCGGCCAAGCTCTCTTCCCACCGCTTCCCGGGCCGTCCGCGCGCCTCTGGTTCAGCCCAAGCGCGACTTGCTGGTAAAGATCTGACTTTCCCAACCGACTCCTTGCAGACGCCCTTCGGCCTCCTCAGGGTGTTCAGCGTCGTGATCCCTTTCCTGTATGTTGGGACTCAGATAAGTAAGAACTTTGCAGCCTTACTTGAAGAACATGATATCTTTGTCCCAGAGGATGACGATGACGATGATTAAAGGGTATGTCATTAACTTCACCAGCAAGCTAATTAGTTGTGCTTCCCGTTTGGCCTGGGGCAGAGAGGAGAATCTCAGACAAGGAAATACAGGCAGCAACAGCTTGAAAGATGCATTTGCAGGTAAACATACAGACAGGATATTTCCTTTGGCTATGAACTTTTGTGCTCCTTTATACCAGAGTAGGCCAGACTGGTATCTGGGAAAACTCCACATCATACATTTGTTAGAGATAGGAATAAACCAGTGGTGGTTTAGATCAGAAATAAACTTGTAGTCAGTGAGGGTCTGTACTGCTGACAGAAAAGAGGGACTTCGGTGTTACTACATTACTCACCCAGAGAAGGGCAGCAAAGCTGATGAAGAGTCTGGAGCACAAATCTTATGAGGGGTGTCTGTGGGAGCTGGGGGTGTTTAGCCAGGAGAAAAGGAGACTCAGGGGAGACCTTAGGACTCTACAGCTACCTCAAAGGAGATTTTAGCCAGGTGGGGGTCAGGCTCTTCTCCAGGTAACAAATGACAAGACAGGAGCAAATGGCCTCAAGTTGCACCACAGAGGTTTAGATTGGATATTAAGATCACTGAAAGGGTGATCAGGCATTGGAACAGGCCACCCAAGGAAGTGATTGAGTCACCATCCCAGGAGGTATTTAAACGATGTGTAGATGTGGCACTTAGGGATATGGTTTGGCAGTGTTGGGTTAGTGGTTGGACTCAATGAACTCTTTACCAGCCTGAACAATTCTGTGATTTTGTTCCATTTGTTTACCTGTTTAAAAGTCTCTTGCTAACTCACAGAATGACTATTTTAGAAGAGAATCACTTATTGGCTGAAATTCTGATATAGGTGAACAATTTAAGCAAATTCCAGAACCCATCAGAACAGAGTGTCCTGTGGGTGTTATAACACTGATCTCTGGAGTAGTGGGACCATTCAGACTCACTGGATAAAGGAAGAGTGGAATTCACCTTTACCTTATTAATCACCTTTATTTACCTTTATTTTTATAGTACACTATACTTTACCATGTTATGTTTACCTGTTTGGCTTGCCCTTGTGTAAAGGTTTGAGTTTGAGTGGATTTGATTCTTTTTAGAACAAAAACACTGTTTTAAAGAAGCTGTTGTACATAGTGTTGCTTTATAATCTGTTTGGTGGATGTATTCCACTTGATCAGGGGGTTTTCCAGCATGCACTGTGCAGCTGAAAAGAGTTAGAAGATTGTAAGACTGCACCGGCCTGTTGGAAACTCCCTGTAGGTAAACCCCTACCTTGGGTGGTTTTGGGAGGAGGGTACAGACTGCACCTCAGTACAAATCACCTGAAGATTAACAGCTTGCTGTTGTCTTTGCAGCACCATAATGGAAGAACAGAAGGGGGAAAACCATTGACAGAGCAATGGTTCTAACATCTGTCACCTGTGTTTTGTCCTTCCTAAACGGGACAGGGGGCTCTGCATTCCCTGTTGCCAGTGAGTGTCCTGCGCATGTCTGTCCGACAGAAATCTGCAGATCAGGGCTGAAGGAAGTGCTCGATAGGCTCTGCATCCTTGCACACACATGCTCACCTCATCAAAGACTGCTTGGGATGCCTTTCATTAGCAATATGGGAAACAATTAAAGATCAAGAAATTGATATGTATGACTTTGGTCTTGTGGTTTTATACATTATATGACTGTGTCCTGGTATTTGTGTCTTAACCTCTGTATGTCTGTTCCAGTAAGGAGTCTCTCTTCATGTTTATTTCCCCTTATGAGTCCTTTCTGTAATTCAGTAATCTACAGTACATGACAGGAATCCTAGAGGAAGCAGCAGCCCCACAACACAGCCCCATTAAAGAATGGAGTGCCCATTGGCAGTGGCACTGCAGTTCAACAACCTGGCAGTGTATGTGATGGAGAATGCATCATTAATTTCACCTCACTGAAGAGTAAATACAGGATTATCATTGCAAGTTTGAGTAGCTTTGGTAAAAGGTTAAGATCACAAGTAGCAGACTAACTTGCTGATGTGTTTTATAGCATTTAATCTCCGAACACTGAAAAATCTCTGAACGCTGGTTCCAAATACCTAATATTTCCTGGAGAATAGGAAAGTTGAGTAGGTGGTTCAGTACTTCCTTCTGTATGAGCCCTAATATATATTTGGTTTTGTAACTCTGTATAAATCTTCAACCCCTCTTTTCATAGAAGTGTTTACTATTGCTTTTTAAGTCCTTGAATAACAGACTTAAGCCTTCTGTACTGCTAGGGCACATAAAGAGTATCTTTAGTCACATCAGAGCAAATCACATTGAAACCTTGAAAGATTAGTCAGTTACTTATTTTTCTTAAGCCAGCATTGCCCCAGCGTCTCTCTCATGGCTTCTGGTCACTAGACTTGGCCTCTTGACTGCATACTTCTTCCTTCAATATTCATGTTGCTGTTCAAAAACTATGTTTCATGTTACACGAATTGCTACAGTGATAGTTCAAACAGCCACATTTGCTCCCTTATTCTTTGGCACAGCTTCTGATGTTTGCTCTGTAACCCTCCAGTGTAGCACTGACTGAAAAGGGAGCCTGCAATCTGAGTAACCCCAACAGCTGTCAGGTTCTTGAGTCACTTAGTATCGGAGTTGCTTCCTCCTGCCCCAAAGCCACCTGAGGAGTGTTCCAGTTCATCTGCTCTTGGGAGCCAAACATGTATCTGCTACTGTCTTCTGTGCTGCCAAATTCCTTATCACTCACTGCTTTATCCCACTGTCTCTCCTGGCTGCTCCTGACTGCATCACCCCTGTCTTTAAAAACATGCCACCCCTGAAGCCCTAAGGTACACTCAGGTACACATCCCTGAGGAGTGCTGCAATACAGTCCTCACGTGGGGAAGAAAGCCCCAGTATTAGGCACTAGTGCACTACAAAGATTCAATGCAGGTCACACCTAGGGGAGCTCCAGCACTGAGTTACCTGCTGAAAACATGTTCTGACTGGTGAAAGAAAATTCTCCTTACCCTTCTCAAAAGGGACCTAGTAATTCCTGATTCAATTAAGGTGGTGATGGTAGGACCTTACAGAGCCTCCCTATTCTAGACAACAGTACAAACCCGCCTTTTTCCAAGGAATTTCATTTTACAGCAGGGAAATGGATTCTGCTGTTTCTACTGCACAAAGGGCTTTATTTGCCTATTGGATTTTATATATTCTCTGTAAGGAAGTAAACAGAGACTAGTGTCCAAGTGAAAAACACAAGGTCAACAAAGTCACAGCATGAAATTGCAAGACACTGCACGAATACAGATGAGCCTGAATCACAAGAATATTTGTGACTACATTTTTCCCCACAGAGCTAACACCTAGGGACTGGGCTGCAGGCTAGCACAGAGCCCCACAGGTAGGTTGTGTTGTGGTTGTTCAGCAGACACCCCTGAGCAAGTGATGGGACAAACACCATCCACTGAAAACACACATTAGCAAAACTAGGAAATCACAGCTCTTCAAACAGATCATGATCACTTGCACATACTCTGGATTCAGCTCGTCATTAGGCTCATAATATGCTACACAATCTCTCTGTATGGATTTCTTTTCTTCTGTTGTATAGAACTTTATTTGTAATGCAAAGCAGGAAGACACAGAGTCAATCTCTCAGGGATCGTGACCCGCATAGAATTTGGACAGAAAGTCTTTAGGTTGTGGAGTTTCCGTCTCATGGAAGTACCTCATGACATGAGTCCTCTGCTTCCATACGTGGATGGTTTCTTGAAGCTCCATTTTCCCCTGCACACAGACAAAAGAATTTTAGGCTAGTTCTCAGTTAGAGAGCCCAAGTCTAACCAGACAGCACTATGAAAATTACTTGAATGCCCTTAGAAACACCCTTAAGATAGCTGCATCAACAGCTCTGTACTCCTAAAGACAGTAACCACCTACGCTGTGACACAACTATGCTGTTCCTGCCCTGTGGAACAAGCAAGGCCCCCTGCCCCCTTCTTAAAACCTGCCTTGTTTCTCTCATGACCAGCACCTCCCATAAAATTCTACATAACATTCCTAACTTTGGAGCACCTCTACTGGATTTGTGTGAACAGCAGCACCTTAGCCGGAAAACTAAGTACAACTGCTGCCAAGTGCTTTGCACCGCTATCACTGCCACAGAGGTATTAAACATAACTTCCCCATGACTCCAGTCTGCTGTACTGGTTCAGGAGGGTGGCAGCACAGAGCAAGATCAGGCTGCCTGGAACTGTCACCTACCATAACATCTAGGATTGTGTTTCCAGATTTCTTTGATCATGTAAAGACACAGTAATTGTCTTGAGATGCAAGAAATACAACATGTGAGCATGGCAGTGCTTGGTGTGTAACTTTCTAATGCACTGGAATTGCAAATCTCAGTTATTGTGGCTCAGACACTGGTGTGATCATTGCTGCGAACCAGACAGGTCTCTCAGGCCTGAGGCAGAACCAGATGAGTTACAGAGCTGGGGTGTTCTGCCTCCCACCAAGTACTGACACTCTGAAACTATATTATAGTTTCAGAATCAGTGAAGAATATAATTTTCCAATCCAAGGAAGTACTGTATAAAGTTCATTTTTAATAGTCAACCAAACTGCAGCATCTGTTTTACCTTTAACAATTGCCATTGTTTAAAAAAAAAAAGGCAAGGAAATAAAAAAAACAAACAACAAACTTAGCATTTTAACTGCTGATTTACTTGCCATACAATTCCTCTTTTAAAGCTCTGCAAACTAGAAGAACTGGTGCACTGAGTGACAAAAATCTCTACTCTGGCCACTCTGACTCAGGTGTGTTAAGACCCTGTTCCTTTGCATGCTAAAGCAGCCTGGTCCCTTAACAACAGGTTTGACATAGATGAACCAATCTGACTGCAAGAGAATGCAAGACTCCATAGCACAACCTGAAACAAAGCTGTCCCTCTCCTCCATCACACTCACCACCAATCATCCCCTCTCGCACTCCCTGCAGCTCCAACAGAACAGGAGTGACTTCGTACCTTAATGACCAGCATGTCTATCACCCGCGGGTCTCTAACGTGGGCGTTCTTCATGAACATCTCCCGCACCTTGTTCCGCCCCTGCTTCACCGTGATGTCCAGCTGGAACAGGTGCACTGAGAGGAACACAACACCACCGTAACGGCCGCATCTTCAACACGGACAGTGCAGCTCAGCCCGACGAACGCCACACGGACCGGGGGCGGGTCGGGCACGGCACACGCGGCCGCGAACACCAGA